GTCTAAGTCAGGCACGCCTCTTACGCATGTGAACTTGTGCTGTGTGAAGTGTACAGGCACACCAGGGTATGGAAGCATCTATCGATAGAAGGTGGGTAGGTGCAAGGGTGCACCTACTAGGTTATGTATTTGTACATTGTAGATAGGACCTAGGTATGTAGGTATTGTACTATTACCGTACTAGTACTACTAGGTAGTAGCAGACCTGGGTAGGGGTAACTTTGATAAAGATCAGGCTGCTTCGATGCTCAAGATTCCAAGGCTCCAAGGCTCCAAGGCTCCAAGGCTTTTTTTTTTCTTTTTCCCCAGTCAATCCCAAAGAGATCCATTATCCATGGATGCTTCGAAACCTTCGATCCAATTGTCTCGACAGGTCTTTGCGACAAGAGTTGATTCGCATGAACGTCTGTCTGGCATATCTATCGTTCGAAACCCATTGATTGATCACAGAGTTTCGCATCTCGAACAAGCCCTACCTTTTCGCTCTGCCACGTATTACACCATTACACCATTACACCCTAGGGCCTACACCCGTGTAGATGCTCTGAATCCTCATTAGCTAAATACGAAGCTACTATGATAAGTTTATACCCAAGTCAAGACGAGTCACCGGCTTATGGTTCCAATGCTCTAGGTAACTATGCATAAAGGGTATAACAAGTAGATCTATGGACGTGGGGAGGATCAATCATCTCATCTTCGTATATTACCTAGGTATTAAATCAAAATCCACGTCCGGTATGCTGTAGAGCTACACCACTAGGTATCGTCTCTCCATAATACTACCTAATGTACAGCTGTATAGGTAGTAGACTACATCATTTCTATGCTTTCCGATAGCTGCATATTAATAAATACACATATACCTACTACTAGTAGGTAGTATCCTCCAATTTTTCCATAAGTACAAGTGTCAAGGGTGACCCAACTTCAATATCAATAATTCGCATACAGAAACAAGTAAACTACATAATATCATGCGAAAGAAAATGCATATCAAGATTCCAACTGGTAGACGGATCAGGTATCGATATTGCTTATGGGGTGCCTCTACGTAGGACCGTAGGTACTAGGCAGCTAAGTAAAGTACCTACCTAAGCAACGATCCATTAACGTTCACTCGGACTACGGGATCGACACATGACAGGTGGGTGACGGTATCTGACGGTGTGGGAAGGTGAAGGAGGGGTTACGGCGGTCCGGGGAGGGGCAGTCCAAATTGACCACTATCGGGAATGTTTTAAAGTATTGGAGGTCCCTAGGACCTAGGTACCTAGGCCTGGGCGCATTGTAGCAGCTACCAGCTGGAGCCCTGAAGGGAAGTGCATACCTGGAGGTAGGTATTGTCCCACACCGGTGTATACTACCTACGGTCTACCTACCTAGTACATTACGGCTACACCCTTACACCCTACATCCTACCTTATGTTACATTCTTTCTCAACGCCAATCACACCGACCGAAAGGTTGACCTTTGCCTTGCGCCATCACCGACACGATCACCATAACAATTTCAGTAACATCATGCCCTTAGCTGTTCTAACTGGTATCTCTTCTTTAATTCCCCTAGAAAGTCACATGAGTTCCTAGAGAAGACCAGGCTAGACTGTTCCTCCAAGCTCTGACTAGGTACCTAGCAACTAGCTATAGCTTCAAAGCTGGAAGTCGCCTCGATTCTCCCCATTCTCCCCGATCCTCCCCGATCCCACGATAGATCGGAAATACTTACTACAAAATCACTTTCATCTTCCAATCTCCCTACTATTTACTCTAAAATCTTGTCACGTATCAGATTCTTCTGTTACCATGGATCCTAACGCCTTCTATTTCCGAGGTAGAGACTCCAAAGAAGCTAGTATCTCACCGCCGCCCCCTCAACGAACAGGCTCTGCTTCGAGCTTGCACAAGTCCGGTCATGTCATTGCCCATAGCCACCGTTCAAGCTTCGCCGAAAATCTGAGGGGCCTGCCGCCGTCGCCGCGAAATCAAAGACATCCCTCGTTCACTCAATCTGCTATTCAGGAATTACTCAACCACCCGCCCGCTTCGAGACAGCACAACCCCCGTTTTGCCGGTAGAGACTGGCGCGACATCGCAATCGGAGAGCTCGTGTCAAAAGATGAAGTTACCTGGGTTGAAATGGATACTAGCGTGGAAGATGCAACAATGGTACTTACTACTCATATCTATCTAACAATTTCTCTGACCATGCCTCTAGGCGTTGCTTAAGAATACCTCGAGCAATGTTGTCATCGTTAGAGAGGATGCCTCTAGCTCTAATCCAGTCTCGACATTCGATTACAATGACCTAAATGCATACATCCTGACCGTGGTTGGGTTGGCGCATCCGAGTGAGGACTTGGTCGAATTATATGATACGGTGGCGAAAAGGGCCCAGGCCCGAGTCAGCATCCCTCTCCGCGATGTCCAGCCAATATTCCGGAAAGAGTCGCTTGTCACGTTAGAGGGGGATGAAGACCTAGCTAAGGCAATTGAGGTTTTTGGTAGCGGCGTACACCGAGCGCTCGTGACTAACCGTGACGGAGAAGTAATCGGCATCTTAAGCCAATTGAAACTCATAGAATTCTTCTGGAACGAGGGCATAAACTTTCGTGTCATCGACGATCTTTACCCGAGACTCCTGCGTGACGTCGGCGTTGGGTCGCAACAGATAATAGCTATCAAGTATGTGTCCTGCTGGTTTGCCGTCTATACAGCGTTCGAGTATTTCCCCAAGCTAACAACCCTACAGCGCGGATAGCCCTTTAACGGAAGCACTTAACCTTATGAATCAAGAAGGTCTATCAAGCGTGGCTGTTGTGGATAATGGGTTAAACGTCGTTGGTAACATTTCCAGCGCCGACGTCAAACACCTTACCAATGCTGCAAGCTTCCCGTTATTGCAAAATTCGTGTATGCATTTTATATCGGTTATCTTGACCGAACAAGGCGTCGAAAAAGGCAAGGACTCGTTTCCGGTCTTTCATGTCAACCCTTACTCAACGCTCGCACACACGGTAGCTAAATTAGTGGCTACCCATTCGCATAGGATGTGGATCGTGGAATCGGCATCTCCATCGCCTTCCGCCCCCGGGACACCGTCGCTGGGACCCACCGTCTTCGTCCCGACCCCTTCTTCTTCGCAGACATCCCTTACCGGCAGCCACTTCCCTACGGTTCCGCCCGCTTCCACCTTACCTGGGTCCCATTTATCGGGTCGCCTCATTGGGGTTGTTACCTTGACGGATATCCTGAACCTCTTTGCGAGGTCGACTGGGCTTAACCCATCAGACCCGAGTGAGCAGCGAGCGAGAAGACGGAGGAGTTCCAGCAGTTCTATTCGCCCGTCTATCGAGTCAACCCGCGCTAGCCTAGATATTCGACGTTGAATACCGCCGACCTATGGAGTCGCTCGCTAGGGGAATCGTGGAAAGGAAAAGTTCACCGGACTCCATTGAAGAGTGTAGTCGGGCTGCAAGACTTATCTAATAGCATAGTGCTACTATGGTGCTCTATTTGTCGTAGGGTTCTTTGATGCTCTCATAATGGAATCAGAGAGGGTGGGTTGGTGATGTTTTTATCGCGTACCATTTGTTCCGGAGCGCAATGATGTTTACGAGATACGTTGCTAGGAGTCTGCGGCGTTACTTTCTGGTTTCTTTAAGAGACTATAGTCAGGGCTAGGCATGTTCGAATATCATCAATCGATGCTTAGGACTTAGGTATTTGTTGCGCCTACACTCTTTCAGTAGCTAGGTAGCATGGCATGCCTGAATCTAGACCAGGTAGTGGTAATATGATGGAGATGGAACTAGGTGCGTAAGGGGATCTCAGCATCGGATACAGCAGTATATGCAAATAGATAAATAGATAATCGATCAATCTCCTTGAGCATGTTTATCGCTAGTCGCATAAAATCTCTTACCTGTACCTGTGACTTAGACTTCAGAGTCCTCACGAGTCACTTAAGTCTTAAGCTTCTAGCGTACCAAATTTCTTATGCATATATAGCAACCTTGGAACATATGAATTTCTGTTGATCTGTTATTGGTACTGTCTATAATAACTCTCGACCGCACCTCCCGTAGGGGGGGTGCTGCGTATTGATTAGCAAAACGAGCAAGATTAGCAAAATTCTCCGAGGTACTTATAAATGGGTGGGATTTACATATAAAATCAAAGTATACTAGCATAAATACATACTCTTTTAAGTAAATATAACCTTTGTTTTTAAGAATATATATGATTATAAGCCATAATTTAAAGGGTTTAGGGTAATCTTCGGCTGGTTTTGCTAGTCTTGCCTGTTTTGTTAATCAATGTGCAGCACCCCTCTTATAGGAGGTGTTGATGAGAGTTATTATAGATAGCACCAGTAAAGGGGTCATGTTCCCAATGGTTTATGGTTTATACATTGAAATAGAGCAAAACCTTATGATTTGCTGTGTTGGAGTCTTGGTGTGGAGGTGGGAGGTATCTATCAGTCATGTGATAATACACCCTAGTACTGTTAACCTATTAACCTACAGAGGTCGCCACCAAAAGTTTTTTCCATAGGACGCCTGTGCCAAGTCTTGGCAACAGCTGCTAGAAAACTTCGTCGGCTGTCAAGTAAAGTTACCTTTTTAACTTGATTAAAGCTTTATAAGTTTATTTTTATTAAGGTTTTTTTAAAGGTATTTTTTAATTAATTTTATATATTTTAATATAAATTATTAATCATAAAAATAATATTTAAAAAAAAGGATAGTTATTTAAAAACTGTACTTATTTCGATTCTCGCACCAACTGAAAAGCAGCTGCAAGTGAGTGCTTCTCCAGCTGGCAGCATGAGTGCCAAATCTTGGCACGAGCGTCCTATGGAAAAAACTTTTGGTGGCGTCCTCTGTATTAACCCCTTGCACTAGTATTAGTACAGGCCAAGTACGATATATAGCGCCGTAATTCGCCAATTTTCCAGCCGGACATCTGTTACCACGAGTATGTGGATATCCAGCATAGGCACGATGTCGGAGTGGTTAACGAGTGAGACTTGAATTATTAAGAAATCCTCTTTGACGAGGAGTTCTTATATTATGAAATCTCATGCCTTCGGGCGCGCAGGTTCGAATCCTGCTCGTGTCGATTTTATTTTTGCTTTTTGACAATTTGAACTATTTTAACATCCCTCAGTGAATAAATAGTCTCTGTCCTCGTTTGTCTTGCCTTTTTACAACGTATAGTAACATGAATGACCGATCTTTTTTTTCGCTTATAGACGATACTAGGCTATTTAAGAGATTGTGTTTAAGTAACATCGTTGATAGATTCCTCACTCCTTTTCCGAAACGCCGGCAGATTTTTGCGACCCGATTATTCTCTTCTTATCTGCGGGGGAGAACAAAGTGGTGCCCTGCTGTAGGGACTTAATGAGCATGCCTACCGCATCGCCTTTGAAGTCGTCGGCACTGCGAATCTTGTCTAGATCCTCTGCGAATTCTCTAGTGCTTTGCTGGAGGTAGTAGGAGGTGAACTCCTGAGATGTTGCGTCTTTATCTGGCATCTCTTCGTCGGTTTTGGGAAATTGGCAAATTGTGGGGTTTTTTTTTGGTTGAAAAGTGTTGTTTGTAGCTCGAGCTATCGTTTTCGTTGCAATGACGAAGCTGAATGTGCTTTAATGTTAATATTATGGTTTTCAGTTTTAAAAGTGGTTATTGTCAATGGTTTTTGTACGGTTTGCAATACGGCGAATCTGCGGTCCCGCAACCGACCAAGACTCCAAGCTATTATTCTGGTAGTACTAAGTATTGCATACTTCGTAGTGTTGTCAATAGGGATGTCCATAATTGGTTCACTTGTGGGACCTGGCTGCCTGGTCAGCCCCATTACGTCAACAGCGTCTCTCTGTCTTTCTTCCTACGTGTAATCTGTAACTTTGAACCAACTATTTTAACTTCAACTGTATCCCAAGAATCTAGGCGTGCAACAAGTTTTGGGAGGCTATCTTACTAAAAAATAATAACAATACTACCGAAATGTCACCACACGAAGGCTTGGTTCATCTGAAGGAGTACGATTGGAGGAATAGCAACGTCGAGAATATAGGAACAGAACTTGATCATAAGGTCAAGTATAATTCAGCAGCTACAGAGCCCGCATGGCAGGAGGTCGGGCAAGCTACCGGCCTTCATGTTTGGCGAATCGAGGATTTCGAGGTCGTCCCGTGGCCAAAAGACCAGTATGGCGACTTTCACGAGGGAGATAGCTACATCGTCTTGCACTCGTACAAAGTAGGGAGCAAGGATGGCGAGCAAAAGCTTGCTCACGACATCTTCTTCTGGCTCGGAAGCAAGACAACGCAAGACGAAGCAGGCACGGCTGCCTACAAAACTGTCGAACTCGACGAATTTTTGCATGGCGTTGCAACGCAGCATCGTGAGCTTCAGAAGGAGCCTTCTGACGATTTTATCGCTTTATTCTCTCGCATCCGCATCCTGTCTGGTGGTGTCCGCTCGGGCTTCACGCACGTCGAAACCGAGGAGAAACCTAAAGATACCCTCATGCTGCTTAGGATCTTTAAGCACCCGTCTGCTAAACGAGCGGACTCCGTCATGGTTTATGAGGTCGAACCTACTTGGCAGAGTCTGGATGAGAACGACGTGTTTGTATTGGAGCGTCGGGATAAGATCTGGGTCTGGCAGGGTAAGAAGTGTAGCCCGATGGAGAAAGCGAAGGCTGCCCAGGTTGTCCACGACATGACCATTGCGAAACACATCGATGTCGAAGTGCTATCACAGGAGGAGGCAAGGTCTCGGACTATCGTTGCTATGTTGGGTGGCGAAGATATTGAGGGATCGCTTAACGCCCCTCGGCCGATCAACCCGTCTAAGAGCCAAGACAGCGGACGTCGCCCTCGCAGACTTTTCCGCTTATCGGATGCCTCCGGTCAGTTGAGGTTTGACATAGTCAAAGAAGGCAGTGGGATTAACCAAACAGATCTGGATGGCAATGATGTATTCCTTCTTGATACGGGTGACATTGTTTGGGTCTGGCAAGGGTCTAGAGCTAGCAAAGCAGAAAAGGCTATGTGGATAAAAGTAGCTGAATTGTATATTCGACGACTTGGAGAGGACGATGAGAAAGCATATCTAAGCCCGATTTCTAAGGTGGTCGAAGGTTACGAAAGTCCGGCATTCATTCAGGCGCTCGAGGCGCGATAGAGGCTTATGATACTATCATCATTTATCCCTACTAGGTACCTACCTAGTACTCAGTACCTACCACCTACTACCTACCTAGTACCACTACTAGGTACCCAGTACCTAGTAGGTAGGTACTTCAATGTAGTACGTAGTACGTACATATACACATGTACCGGGGCCGCAGCCGAAGCTGCCGCCACTTTTCTACTAAGATTGGATATAATATTACAGAATAGTATGTATCCAAATCAGTTAACAAATCCCTATATGCACTTGTGGCTTTTCGTCATTCAAATCCAGTCTTGATGCTTGATATACTTATGCGCAACATCAAATCTTGGGTCAAGTGGAAGTCAATCAGTGAGCTTAATCGGATTTAACTCGAGACTACGTAGTACGAAGTATTTCATAATTTTAATGTAATTAAAAGGATAAACACGATAATAATGCAGTATTCGTACTATGTAGTACTTTGTAAAATGGCGTGAAATGGCAAGTGGGGAGGCTGCCTCAATTTTGACGCGACGCTAATAAATGTTCCCTGTCTGCCTGTAATAGATCGTGTCATCCGTGTGAAATGTTTAATTGGTAATTGGCAATGTTGAATGGAGAAAGTTCACGTCGGAGACAAAAAAAAAAAAAAAAAAAAAAACCAGACTTGGACCCTTTCCAATTTGATCGATTTCCAAGCTTGGATCTCGTTGCCCAACTTCTCCCACCTATAGATTCCCAGACTCCCTACGATATTATCTTACTCTTACCGCCCTGCCGCCATACAAGGTACAAAACACATGCGAATTATTCTCAATCAGCAGTCTCCCCATCTTCCCCGTCCCGTCCCCTTATTGAACTATACCTTTGATCGCCGCCAAACCACGTAGTGAGAACCTCAATGTCTCTCATTTGATCATCCGACAATCAATTTCTCAACATGGATCTTCACGAGGCTCAGGCGTACTTGCAGTCTTCCCTTCACGAGGTCTCACACGCCTTTCAGAAGGTTCCCGGAAGTGCCGTCTTGATACGATACATTCAGTCCAGCTATCAGAATGATCCGATCCGATCCGCCATAGAATTGGTTCTTGTTATATTCTTTATTCGATACATCCTCTCGCCCTCCTATCCTACTCACGGCCCCAATTACGTTCAGCTTCGTGAAGATGAGATCGATGAGCTCGTTAAGGAATGGGAGCCCGAACCTCTCGTCGCCCCACAGACTCCCTTAGAGGAAGTAGAATCCGAGAGACAGCCTATAATTGTCGGGTAAGAATTGGTGTGATATGCGATAATGAAGGAAGAGCGCAGTTGCTAATACTATAAATATAGTCCAACCGGTCCCAAGGTGAAGCTGTCTAATGGCAAGACTGTTGTGAACCTGGCCTCCTATAACTTCTATAACCTGAACGCGAGCGAATCGATCAAGGAAAAGGCTATCCAGACACTGCGCACCTATGGAGTCGGCCCCTGCGGTCCACCACAGTTCTACGGTACCCAGGATGTCCACATGAACACCGAGCATGACATCGCTGTCTTCCTTGGAACACAGGACAGCATAGTTTACTCGCACGCCTTCTCAACTATCTCAAGTGTCATCCCGACCTTTTGCAAACGAGGTGATGTCATTGTAGCTGATAAGATGGTCAACTATTCGATTCGCAAAGGACTAGAAGCCTCCCGAAGCATCATCAAGTGGTACGAACATAATGACATGGAAGACCTCGAGCAGGTCATGAAGAAGGTAGTTGAGGAGCAAGCGAAGAAGAAGATCTTGACCAGGCGTTTCATTGTGACAGAAGGCCTCTTCGAGATGGTCGGCGATTGCTCTAACCTTCCTAAGCTCGTAAGCTACCCTTGCACGATTTAAATTTCGGTGTCTCATTTAGCTAATGACGAGGTGTGCTTTTAGGTGGAACTCAAGGAAAAATACAAGTTTCGCATTGCCCTTGACGAAACCTGGTCTTTTGGCGTGCTTGGACACAACGGGCGAGGGCTCACCGAGGCACAGAACGTAGACTCGGAAGCTGTGGACATGATCATCGGTTCTTTGGCGGGACCTCTCTGCGCTGCTGGTGGATTCTGCGCCGGTTCTAAGGACGTCGTGAGACATCAACGTATCAATGCCGCATCCTACACCTATTCTGCTGCTTTACCTGCCATGGCCGCTGTCACGGCTAGCGAGACCCTAAACGTCCTACAATGCAACCCTGATATCCTACTCCAATGCCGGGAAAACATCCGGGCCATGAGGGCGCAGCTTGACCCCCGGAGCGACTGGGTACAATGCACGAGCGACCCCGAAAACCCTGTCATGTTACTTGTATTCAAGCCGGACGTGATCTCATCAAGGCGGCTAACCAATGAAGACCAGGAGCGGCTATTCCTCGACGTTGCGGACGAGGTAAGTTTTCAAGTTTGGATCCCCTTGAAATGTGTTTACGCAGTACTCACAAAGATGTAGGCACTCGCCAATGGTGTGCTAGTCACTCGGCTGAAGTGCGCGCTGCTGAATGGCAGCATCGGCACCAAGGACAGCAATATCCAGCCTGCGCTCAAGGTTTGTATCACATCGGGGTTGTCGAAGAAGGAGATCGAGAAGGCTGGAGTGATGATTCGACACGCCATTACGAAGATCATGACTCGTAAACCAAATCGGCAGTCGACTCTGACTGCCTAGGAACCCTTCAGCTTCTCATGATCTCGTCTAATCAGTCCTGGTCTACGTCACTTTACGAAATCCATGGGTGGTACGAGTGGAATGTACTTGCTATTGATACAGTCTCAGAGCTGATTACTATGCTACGACCCGAGCATGGCCCTATGATAATGTGGACGGGTGCTGGGAGGGGGCCGTGTAAGATGGGGTTTGTTCATGAATGTACGTACACATACCTATTATACAGGACGAGAAAAATGAGGCAAACTGCCATCCATGATATTGGATTA